GAACTGGAAAGTGACCTGAGATGACATGATGTGAATTGGAGCTATAGAAATAAACTGAATAGAATTGAACTCATCAAAATGGTCCAAGAAACCAAAATAAACCTTAATCTTTTAGATAATCTGCAGAATGGGCTAAAAGGAATAGATCATAAGAATAAACCAAGAACTTTGGACAAAAGATCAAAGTTAAAAATGCGTAGAAATAGAATGTAGAGCAGAATGAGCAACTGAGAAACCCTGGATTTAGTTAGTCAGTTAGTTGGTGGTTTTGGAGATTATGCTGCTGGAATCAAAGATGAATCGACTTTTAAGATTTGAGGTCGTGGTCATCCTGAGCTGCCTGCTCAGAAACACCAACAGGAAATCATCCGCAGCCTTTTTCTCTCTGGACGCATTAAAAGCTGAAAGTTTAGTCCATGTTTTTCTCACTACCCTGGAGAAGCACTGAAGTTCGGGGTGATAAAATATCATTCAGTCAAACCAAGTGAAAAATCCCAGTGCCATGCGAGGGGGGGAGGGGCGGGTATCCCACTGTGCCGCAGTTAGACTGATTAATTGTGAAAGCGTGAGAGATTAAAGGAGGCACATCCCAGGATTGCTGCTAATGGATTTAATATTCATGAACCCTTCTAGTTTTGAGGGAAGAGGCAAGAGGGATCCAATTTATCCCACAGTCACTTTTTTCTGGAATCAAGAGCGAAAATTAAAGCGGTGAAAAATTCCTCTTGCATTTGCTTTCATTTCTGCAACACTCTGTGCATATTTCACCACGCGGCGGACGTGTAAACACACACCTTTAGAAATAAATGACTCACCTGACGGCTCCTCGGTGATGCTGGACGGAGTCGTCGGTGGAGAAACTGGAATCTCTACTCAGGAAAACAAGAAAAAAAAAGAAAATAATTAATTATTTTGTTGATTTATGTTTTTTACACAGATCACATGTGTTTAGTTTCTTTCTGTTCATGTTCCTAAACGGTTAATGTGCAGAAAACAGTTAAATATGTAGTAAAGCAGGGAGGGGCGGGGATGATTTGGAACTTTTCAACAGAAAAGTTCTTGGTTTTTAAGCAAACATGTAATTATACTGAACATTTATGATGAAGCTTCGAGTATTATTTGCTTTTATTATTATAAAACTGCTTGAGTGAAAGAATAATCTTATCAGAGTTAGCCAAAAACATGATCGTTTTAATATTTTGTTTTTATTATGACTGTATTATAGAATAAAGAGAATAGAAACAATACTGCTGGCAGCGACAGGAAACCAAAACCTGTTCAAAGAATCTTTTTTAGTATTTAAACTAGTTCGTTGTTAGATTTTTAGTTATCCGAGCAGATACCTATATTTATTTTTATATCTTAGGTTTTTATTTCAATTTTATTTATTTTTTTTATGCTATGGTTCATTATATTTTATTATGCACCGTGGGGTTGAGAGGACTGTAATTTCATCTGTGTTGTATGTTTACCATGTAGCACATTTGACAATCCAAAATTCTTTACCGTATTATTTATCTGTAAAGTTAATCCGTCAGAAATTAGGAGCAATATTTATGGTAATTTGTCGCGTTTTAAGAGAAAAATTAGGCAAGTCATTTTTTTCAAAGTCATTTTCTCACTATGTCATTCATTCATTTATAAAAGTCTTACTTTGTAAAATAAATATTGACTTTAGAGATAAATATTTATTTAAACAACAAAATATTTAATTTAAAGCTCAATATTTATTTTGCAAATAAAATATTTAGTTTGTGAAATAAATATTTAGCTCCAAACTAAATATTTACGCTGCAAAAATGATCTCAAAATGAGTAAAAATGTCCTAAATTAAGGCTATTTACCCTTAATTTGAGCAGGTAAATAAGATGATTTGCCAATGGAATTAGTATTTTTAAAATAAGTTATCTAGATAAAAGGCACTTGAAATAAGACAATGCAATTGTTTTTTCTTATTTTAAACGAGAAGTTCGGT